AAGAAGAAGAAGAAGAAGAAGAAGAAGAAGAAGAAGAAGAAGAAGAAGAAGAAGAAGAAGAAGAAGAAGAAGAAGAAGAAGAAGAAGAAGAAGAAATAATGAAGGGAAATGGGAAGGAGCAGGAAGAAGAACCAGCAGTCACATGGAGCCAGAGAAGCTCCATGTGGAGTCCGGCACATGCTCAATGCCGGGTGCCACTTCCCGGACTCACCTACAAGTCTGGCCCTCCTCAAAAGCTGCTGAGAGCTGTGCATCATGCATCAGGCTGTGGGGCAGGTCTGCACTGTGTGCTGCTGGAGGACAGATGAGGCAGATGCTGTCCAGGCCTTGGCTTCTGAGGTTCCTGGTCTTTCCAGGTGATGATGTTGTGGGAAACCCTCCTATGTGCCATGGGAAACCCTTCTGCTCCAAAACCCCCTCATTTCTCCTTTCTCTGTAGGACCTATAATTCACTCTCCTCAGACAGAGGCTGCCCCAAACATAGTAGTATTTGGTAACCTCAAGACTAAGTGGATGAACAAGGGAGACAGCTGAGTGGCACAGCTCCTGCCTCGCAAGTACCAGGTGCTGAGTTCAATTCCCAGTACCAAAAAAAAAATCAAAAGTAAATTGATATTCTCAGGTATCTGATTTAGATAACCAATATTTTGGGCTTTCATGTTTAAAGTATAAATTGATTTGTTTGCTTTGGAGCTCTCTTTTCTTTTTTTTTTTTTCTTTCTTTCCTTTTTTTTTTTTTTTTTTTTTTTTTTTTTTTGTTTTTGAGATTTTCCAACCATCAAGTGTGTTGGTTCCTTAGATTAACTATAGCCATAAACACCCCCAAGAAGCAAAATCCATCACCACTCACCTCCTACACATACACCACTCAAAACAGGAAATGAGACCTGTAGGCTGCCTACCAGCGTGTGTCACTATGGCGTTGCTACCTAAGAACTAATTTCCATGCAGCTCTTCCCTGCTTTTATTCTGGTAACATCCAATTATGGAGCATCATATTGCAACAGGAGCCCAGAAAGGAGCTGAATTGCTGAAAAACAATAGACTCCCCAAACTTAGGGGTGCTGAGAAATGCAATCATTTAATCCAGAAGACAAGTATCTCCTCTCATAGCCCTTAGAAAATTGCTGCTGGTCTCTGAACCTTTACAAACTGGTCATTAAGTTAGAAAGGAATCAAAAGTAGAGAAAGGCATGCAGCCTATCTAAAGAAAGGCATGTTTATTCAGATTAAATCACGAGCGGCTTGTCTTCTGGAATGTTCCATTCTTCTGTATGTAAGACAGCTTTATTATTTTACTCCAAAATTATCACAGCACTTTACTTGAAGACAGAGAATGTAAAGATGCGCATTGATCAGTGGAAGCCAGGAGTGGGGGGGCGGGGGGCGGGAGGACTGAACCCCACCGCATCGCCAGCTCTTGGGCCACTGCTCTGTCCTTCATACTGTAATCTTCAGTGCAACGTGGTTCAAATGATTGAACCATGCTCTGCCAGTGTTAGAAATTATAAATTCATAAAAATTCAGCCTGTAATCCCAGCACTCGGGAGGCTGAGATAGGAGAATCATTGTGAGTTTGAGACCAGCCCTGACTACAAAGTGAGCTCAAGGCCAGCCTCAGATGCATAGTGAGACCCTGTCTCAAAAAGACAACAACAACAACAACAACAACAAAAGGAGATGGAAATGCTATGTGCTCTGACTCTATCATTCTGCAAATATTGCATTCATATACGAATTATCACATGATAAGTCACAAATACATACTATTATAATAATCACTATTAAAAACCTAACTTTAAAACCCACAGACCAAAAACTGCATAACACACTATTATACATTGTAGTCAAATATCATAAATGAAGGTGGATTCTTAAACCACATTTAATAGTGAACAGAAGTCTTCTCAGAGTTAAAAATAGGGAGGAGCAATTTCAGCACATCCAACTCTCTACCTTCATCATCTGCTTCAAACTACCTCAGGGGTCCAGCACAGCACGACATTCCATGCTATTGTTTGGGACAAGTAAGGTCACTTTCCAAAGGAGACGCTGCAAAGTGATGCTGTTTTCAATTTCTAATAGTAGAAGTGACCACTATCCTTGGGGACCAAAGAATGGAAATCACCAAGTGCAAGAGTCCCAGCAGCACATAGGGCCCCTCAGAGAAGGTGTGTCCTGCCCCCTTCTACTCACGCCTGAAGATTAAGGATGCAGTTTGTAAAGTATTCTCCAGCAAGCGCTTTTCACTTCCTTGTTCCTCAGGCTGTAGATGAGGGGGTTCAGCATGGGGATGACCACGGTGTAGAACACCGAGGCAATCTTGTCTGTGTCCATGGACTGCCCAAAGCCAGGCTGCAGGTACATGAAGATGATCATGCCATAGAAGATGGAGACGGCAGTGAGGTGAGAGGCGCAGGTGGAGAAGGCCTTCTTCCGTCCCTCAGCAGAACACATGCTCTGAATGGTCATGTATATGAAGAGATAAGAAATGAGGATAACGAGGAGGGTGGAGAAGACATTAAAGCCCACAACAAAGAACACAACCAGCTTGCTGATGCAAGTATCGGAGCATGCCAGAGCCAACAGAGGCGGGATGTCACAGAAAAAATGATTAACTTCATTAGACCCACAGAAGGAAAGGCTGAAGGTGTCTGCCGTGTGGATGGAGGCATTGAGGAAGCCACAGAAGAAGGAGCCAGCGGTCAGCAAGGTGCACACTCCCGCCGTCATGGTGGTGGTGTAATGAAGTGGTCTACACACCACTGCATGGCGGTCGTAGGCCATGGAAGCCAGAAGGTAGCACTCCACGGTGGCAAAGCCCACGAAGAAGAAGAACTGGGCTGCACAGCCACTGTAGGAGATGACCTTGTCTCCCGACCACAAGGTGGCCACCACCTTGGGGGCAACGGCGGAGGAGTAGCCCAGGTCTACAAAGGAGAGGTTACTGAGGAAGAAGTACATGGGGGTATAGAGGCGCGAGTCTGAGCCGATGATCGCTATCATGCCCCCATTCCCAACCACAGTGATCAGGTAGATGAATAAAAATGCCAGGAGGAGAGGAACCTGCAGGCTGGGCTCATCTGTTAATCCCAAGAGAATGAACTCTGTCACTTCTGTGCTGTTCTCCATGGATGTCAACTTGAGTCTCACCTAATCTTGAAAAAGGTTGTCTCATTAGTAGAGGTCCCCGTCAAAATTCATTCCTTTGTATTTTTAATCCAAAAGTCTCCCATGCACAGATTCTCTGTGTATGCATGATATGAATACGTATTACGGTGCAGATGGGCCCGGCAGCACTGCCACTGAGATGTCACTCATTTCTCAAAAACCTAAAAGATGGGACCGGGGAGATGGCTCAGTGGAATAAGCGCTTCCCTGGCAAACGCAAGGGCTTGAGTTCAATCCCCAGTTCCTCAAAAAAAAAAAAAAAAAAAAAAAAAAAAAGAGAAAACTATTAGGTAAAACAGTGAACCCACCATGCCTTATCTTCCTCATCCCACTTCGTAATCAAGACTCACTGGAAAGTTCTTGAAACTTTCTATGCCTAGATAATTAAATAATATTAAAGAAATAACATTTTATTGTGCTCTAGGTATTACATCAATGGTGCTAGTTGTATTTAACTAAATCTTCACATCAATACTTGGGAGACAATTCTGCTCTTGTACCCATTTTACATAAGTAAACAATGAATGTGATAGTATCTAATACTCCTCTGTTTCCAGCTTTTGTTTGACATCAAAATATGATGTTCCACAATTGCAGACATGCAAGTAGAATAACTCTTCTTCTCCCTTCAGGTAACTCCTCCACGGGCAGTGTATTGCATACCTAGTCACCTCTTTCCAGCCATCATTTTCTTCTGAAATTGAGCATTTTTCTGGAGCCCAGAAATCTATGAAATAGTTGGTAAACCAATATTGACTAAAGTTACGTAACACGTAACTGCTGGAGAGAAAAACCAAAACCTTGGCCTGTTTGATTCTAAATCCAGAGATCTTTTATTTTATTTTTTTTTT